ATATAATATATTACTAAAAATGTACACACATATTTATGATTATATCTATTATTATACAATTATACAAAGATATGTGTAATTATCGTAACATAAACATCGGATTGAAATAGAACTAAATTGACTCATTCGAACATTTAACGTTGTAAATTTCTTTTTAGTTTTAATAAATCTCAAGAATTTTCTCTCAATTAGTTATATAAAATCTAGTTATTATGCATCTTTTTTCCATAGAGAATACATCAAAAAATAGATTCTTACATCTTTAGGCAAATCGTTTATTCCAAGCTCCTCAATAAAATATATTATCATGTAATTGTGTTTGTTACATTTGTTTTTTAATACCATGTTATATTTTCATACTATGTTGTAACTCCCTGTTTACAATTTATCTTAGTTTAACATTTAATTTCAACTCTTAATGTTTAACGAAACTCGAATGAGGAATGTCAGTTTTAACAATATATGTTATTTTTATTCCTATACCCTGCTAGAGCAACGATTGTTCCAGCATTATTTTCTCGAAGCCCATTGGTGGAGTATAAATAAAATTTTCTAGAAATAGGTCTAGAATGGCTCCATCATCCACTGAAAGTTAAAATAATATAAATTATATATAAAAATTAATTGTCACACACATGTTAATTACCAGTAAACGAAAATGGATTGAAATGAATTCAGATTTTCAGAAGTACATTCGCAAACATTGAAATGAATCCTTTTCAATCTCAATGTATTTTTGTTCATTTATAGTAATTGCACATGAAAGCACATTTCTATGCCTTTCAATCTAAAAAAAAATTCAATTCTTTAAGTGCATTGTAAATACTTCTCAGTTCAAAATTTTAAATAGGAAATGCAATTTTTCAATTAAATCTCTAAAAGAAGTTTTTCCATCCAATTGCTTCTAAAAGAGTAAAAATGGATCATGGATGTTATACTAAAGTGTATTCAAGTGGATTCAAATGATTAAAATATCAATCCATTTTAATCAATTCTCGTTTATTGTGAGTTATTCATTAGAATAAATAAATACCATATAACACTGGGTAAATCCGTCCCTTTACACCTATAACTGGAGCATTCATGGATTCTCCATTTAAATAAAAATTCAACTCTATATGATCGTAAGATACTCCCTAAAAAAAAGTTTTTAATTATTCAAACAAGATATTGATTGTAATAATAATCTTTTAAAAACTCAGAAGCATTTCTTCGATTTTTCAAATTTAATTAATTTCTTTAAAATATATCAAACTAAATAGCAGTATATACATACGATGACATCTCCTTCCTGGACAAGATTTTGAATTTTGTGAAGTTCTTGTTCGTTGTGCCTTATTATACCATCAGAATTAAGCACCCAACTTTCTGAGTCTTTGCCTCCTACAGCGACATTGAGATCCGTGTCTCTCTTAGCTAGTCCAATGCCCCATATACCACCCTGCTGTATCTTCACTTCAAAATAACTTTTACTCTGAAGAAGAGGGGCATTTGTTAAGGCACCACCGCTTCCACATATTCTTAGACCATTTTTTACTATTACTACCTCGTTTCCTGTATAAAATAGCATGGCAATTTATATCTTTATCATCTCTGTATACATAGAATATATGTATATACAAGCTGTTTCCAAAAAAATCATTCAGCATTTATATGGTAGATAGCATATACATCATATTGAGTAAAAAAAAAACCTTCGTGAATATAGGTTGAAAACCACCGTTTCTGAGATACAAATA